AATATAATATAATATAATATAATATAATATAATATAATATAATATATAATATAATATAATATATAATATAATAATATAGAATGGGAATGGAATAGGATTGGGAATAGGAATGGGAATAAGTATGGAATAGAATAGAATGGGAATGGGAATAGGAATGGGAATAGAATGGAATTCTTTATCAGCCAAGTGTGATTGGACACACAAGGAAGTTGTCCTTAGCGCGAATGCTCTCAGTGTAAATAAAAGGATATATATGTGTGAAATATATGTGCGTGTGTCTATTTCTTAATTTAATTTTAGTCATTATAATTTTATTTAAATTACACATATAAATTTATTTATTTTATTTGAATTACACGTTATTTATTTATTTTATTTGGATAAACGGCGTAAACAAAAAACATTCGCTCAGTACCATAGTGATGGAGAAATTGACTTTAATCTTCTTGCGGAAATATTACAATTAAAACAACCGGTTTTTGTTAGGAAATTTTGGAAGATGAAGAGGTTGGGGTTTTGTTCCCCTTAGTTATCCCTCTTTTTCTTTGGTCCCAAAATAAAAATCCCCCGCCCGTTTCGAAACCTGCCGGCCGAAACTGTACATCCCTCAGCTCAGGATTCCCTCCAAAAGGACAGAAAAAGTCCCCTCCCTTGACGTCAAAAGAGCCAACCAATCACGTCCATCCAACCCCGGGAACCAAGCGGCCTCTTCGGAAAGCCTAGTGAGTCAGAGGGGGCGTGGCTTGCATTCCCCGTCACGCGCCTGGAGGCGGAAACCTAGCGCGTGGCAGGAGCCCGTCGCCGGCGCTCTCTCTTTCCAACCGGAAGCTGCCAGCCGAACGCCGTCCCCGCCGAAGGAGGAGATGCTACGTATTTCCGGCGTGGAGGTGGCGGCTTGGGAAGGGAGTGAGTGTGTGTGTGTGTGAGAGAGCGAGAGCGACAGGAGGCTTCGCCGGGACGCGAGAGAGAGCGAGAAAGAGAAAGGGGGAGTCGTTGCCGTTGTCGTGAAAGGCTTTATCTGCCTTGGCGAAAGGAGCCGCTGCTTGTTTGAGAGGAAGGTGAGGGAGAGACCACGGCCGATGGGTTTTCGGCCTGAGCCGGCCGGTGGGCGGGTTAAAAAAACCGAGCCGGCGGGGGGGGGGCGGGCGGAAGGCGAGCAAGTGACACGCAGGCGAAATGAGGGTGGGGAGGCCTCCCTCCCCCCCTTTTCTCTCGGCCGATGGTTTCTCCCGTTCTTTTTGAGACACTCGGCTTCGGCTCTCTCGGGTCTTTCTTGGGACCTGCCGGAGATTCCCGAGGCCATCCAGGAGCCCTTGGCGGATTGTATTTAGGTTCCCCTTCGCCCATATCAGGTTGCTGGGTGCTGATCCGATCCCCTCTGAAGAGGTGGGAAACTGGGCTTGGGGTGGGTTTCTCCCCCCCCTTCCTGTGCCTGGTTTGGGGCTCCGCTCTCCTGCGGCTAAATGGGGGGGGGGGGGCTCGGTGACCTCGGTTCTCGCTTTTGTCGGGTTTCTCTTTCGGGGATGTTTCGCTTTGTTTTATAACCGGCAAGATCGAGGGTGAATCCCCCCCGTATGCTGGGAACCCCCCAAGGCGTACAATAATTATGATTTCCAAAATATAAAATTCGGGGGCGGGGGAGTGCTGATGTGTCGCTTTTAATGGCTGTTTTCAATCCGGGCTGCTTAGTTTTGTCTTTTTTAAAAATGTTTTTTTATGATTTCTTTTAAGCTTAGTATTTAATTTTTTTGGATTCTGCTGGAGGGGATAGGCTCTAATAATAAAAAGCAAACCATGTAATGAAATAAATAGAAATAAAAGATGCTGATGCTTGAATATTATTGCAAGCTGGGGGTAGGCTAAAGATAAAGGTTCCCTGGCTCATATGTGCTAGTCGTTCCTGACTCTCGGGGGCAGTGCTCATTTCAAAGCCAAAGAGCCAGTGCTGTCCGAAGACGTCTCCGTGGTCATGTGGCCAGCATGACTAAAGCACGGAACGCTGTTGCCTTCCCACCAAAGGTGGTCCCTATGTTTCTACTTGCATTTTTACCTGCTTTCGAACTGCTAGGTTGGCAGAAGCTGAGACATTGCATGGCACTAGTGATTCGAACTGCCGACCTTTCTGATCTGACAGACTCAGCATCTTAGCCACTGGGGGAGGGATAGTGGGCTCCAATAGTCCAATAAGGCCTTCCCTTGTTTTGGGACCCAGCAATTATTGAGTAGGTAGATTTTGGAAGCATCAATTTACTCGCTGCCACCCTCTGGGTTATGCAACTGCGGTAATTGTTGTCCAGGTTATGTACTTTACAAGATCATGTAACTGAAGTAAGATTGGTTGCTTTTTTAGATCCTTGATTTTGGTTTTACCCTGTACGAGTCCCCTTAATGCAGTGCCATTGCAATGTATTCTTCTCTATTAAAACAGCTCTCTTCTGTTTAGCTGTCAGTGATTGAAAACACTGTATTTGTTGTGTGCCTGTCCAATACTCAATTGATCTTTGGTGGAAAAAGTCCACCCCCAATCTGGTGAAAAGAGAAGAATGCTGTTTCTTTCATTAGTGCAAATTAAGAATGGTTTATTTGAGACCTTAGAAGTGTGCAATATCGTTTCTAAAAACAAAGGTTCAATTCTCTCTTAGGCCATCTAATCAAGTACGATTAACTTTTATTTAGTTATTTAGCAGTGTCAGTTTCTTAATTGAAAACAAAAATTCCCTGCTAAGAACTATGTAATTTAACTATTTAGTGTTAAAATTGTGTTTAAACTGGAGAAATCATTTTGGGAGCTGGAATAAGCTTGGGATTGATTTGGACAATTATATTAAAGCAATTACATGCCTTATCAATATGGTTAATTGTTTAAAAAAGAAAAAGCTGGTGAGAATTTTGTTTAGAATTTAAAATGTAGAGAATATAGTAAGCAAATAATAATGAAATATCTAGGCTTTGTGCTAATCTTCCCAACACCTTTCATTTTAATCAAATCATGCTCTTATAGTTTTAAGAAGTTCTTGTAGATTTTTTTTTATTTTTCTATACTGCTTTTCATTCCAGAGAAGCCTAGCATAGTTTATGAAAGAGCAGTAAACCAACCTTGAAAAAAATAAAGCAGAAAACTTCTTAGAAACAATATATTAATATTAAATCTATTTTAAAAAACTGGCATTTTAAGCCATTATTACATCACCCTAGGCAATTTGTATTCCTTCTAATGTTTGTGGGATCAATTCAGTTTTCAGGGTTGTTGTTTTTTAAAAGAAAACCATGTGAGGGCTACCGGAACATGTCACAGGGAAACAGGTTCATAATTAGGAACTGCCACTGAGTTCTTGCTTGACTACCATATTGTCAGCCAAGTGCACTGGTGGCAGCACAAACAGTGTGATCTTCTATTAAAAGGTCATAGCTAAGATTATCGCTCTGTCTTTTGCCAATTCTGTCCTTCCTCTGTTCAGAATAGAACTCGATTTCTGTTCATCTGAGATTAGGAATCACAATCCTGTTGATACTGCACAGAATGACACTGAAGCTATTTTGTAAGTGTGATTTGTTCCTGCTAACTTCAGAAGTGAGTTGCAATATTTATTCTCAGGACTTGAATATAGAATTTCTACTGGTTCCTAGTTCACATGTGAATAATGTTTCCTTATTGCATTAAGACATTTAATTAAATATGCCTATTTTTTTTCCAGGTACATAATTCTTCCATTATGTCATTCTTGTTTGAATGGATCTATAATGGCTTCAGCAGTGTGTTGCAGTTCCTAGGTAAGACTTTAAATGTTTATCAATGAGTAATTTTCCGGGTCTTATTTATTAACTTAAAAATAAGAGGATTTTTAGATTGCTATAGTAAGAAGGCAATAATCTCTCCAGATAAAATCTTAATTTGGTCAGGTGCCAGTTTTATCTTTTCATTTTTTTTATCATATCATTCTATAAATGATAGAACAATAAAGTTATTCTGTAAATGATCGAGATGCAAATTACATTTTTTGTGATGTATTTTGCCTTATTTTATAATGCTAAATGAATGGCATGGATAGAAAATTGGGAAGTTAAAATTTTAAAATGAGTCTACTTTGCTTTTATATTTGCATCCTTCTAGAAATATAGGGGACTTTAGCTTAGTGTTACATATAATGTGGAAATATTTCAATCCTCCCTCCCTCCCCAAAATAGTGCATATCATAAATTTTACTAAGCCATTTTGATGGTTTAGGGGCAGAAATGAAGCCTAAAATGTCAATGTTAGGGGTGATAGAAAATCCAATTGGGATGTGTAATCTAAAATATAATAACAGTAACACCATTCCCCCCTAGTAGCTGCCAGTGGAATATGTTCCACTGACTGACTTACTACCTTGATCTTCCTTGTGCCTTTTCTCTCACCCTCCTGATGCCAAAGCATCATGGCATATCCTTTATGCCTACTGGGTCCTTCCTAATATATTTTCATTGCCAGTGTGCACTGCACCACACATACTTCCATCCACAATTTCCTCACATTTTCCCTTCCCTACCGAATACCTGCTGTGGGAGTCTGCAGATTGCACTCTCTGTTCACTTTGGGGAATAAAAATGCTCAATAGGCTTAATCCAATAAATACTTCATTTTATTTCATACATGCTTTTTTGCACAGGATTGTACAAGAAGTCTGGAAAATTAGTTTTCTTGGGTTTGGATAATGCAGGCAAAACTACTCTTCTTCACATGCTAAAGGATGACAGATTGGGTCAACATGTTCCCACATTATATCCAAGTAAGCACCATATAGTTATGGAATTGTATATTGATGTCATTTTAGAACATTATTGTATGATAATTAATGTTGAAGATTAGTATATTTAAAAAAATAAAGTTGCTTCATGTTTGGGCTTAATTGTTTGAAAATGACATTTAAATTTACTCCTAATCCCAATATCGTTTGTGAGGCTTATTACTTGGAAAGGATAAAAGAGATTAGGCTCAAGATTATGATTCAGTGTGTTATATTAAATACAAATATTACCTGATTCAGTTCATGAGTTAGGAGGAATTGCAAGATTCAAGATATAATTTTCAGTTATTGGTGACCTTTTAGAGTAGCTGAAGGGCAATATGTGCCCTCCAGAGGTTGATGAACTTCAGTTCCCATCTGTCCTAGCAAAAGTGATTGAATTACAGGAGTTACTTTCCAACATCTAACCTGTCAAATTAACCTACATCTATTTTAAGATCTTATGCATCTTTCCTCCTCCTATTGTTTATGGAAGTATCGGGTTTTAATCCCTAATCAGCATCATCTTTATCGGGAAGCTTGGAAATTTGGGGTTGCCTAAAAATATGCAATATCTATATGGAGTTTGTTATCAAAGTAAAATATGAAATCCTTTAAGCTGGGTGTGTTCAATCAGACATTAAATAGACATTCATTGAGGGTGCTCTAAGTTTATTCTTGCACTATGCAGAAGTTGGATTCACTGGTATTATAAATCTCTCCAGTTCTTTATTTGTATGAATATTTCTGAAGGGCATTAGATTGGGGAAGGCTGATCTTAACGTATCTTGAATAGTTTATGTCTTATGGTAATTAACATTGTAAAGACCATATCCACTACTAAATGCTATAAAACACTTCTGTCTTCTCTAGCATCGGAAGAATTAACAATTGCAGGAATGACTTTCACCACTTTTGATCTTGGTGGCCATGAGCAAGGTAATCAGTAGTGATGCTTGTTATTTTGTTATTCTCTTATTCCTGGCTAAACAAAGAAGAGGGAGTCAAACTATTATCCAAAGCACCTGAGGGCAGAAGAAGAAGCAATGGGTGGAAACTAATCAAGGAGAGAAGCAACTTAGATCTGAAGAGAAATTTCCTGACAGTTAGAACAATTAATCAGTGGAACAGCTTGCCTCCAGAAGTTGTGACTGCTCCAACACTGGAAGTCTTTAAGAAGATGTTGGATAGCCATTTGTTTGAAACGGTATAGGGTTTCCTACCTAGGCAGGGGGTTGGACTAGAAGACCTCCAAGGTCCCTTCCAACTCTGCTATTGTATTGCATTGTATAATCTGAGAGAAAGTGTCCTTTATGCAGATAAAATGTTCTACTAATGGAGATGGCATTCAGTCACATTAATGTCTGTGTTGTCCATATTTATTCTCACATTCATGAAGGTCACAAATAGGTCATCTTCCTCTTACAGCAGAGACATGACAATATATTGCTATATATTGGCTTTAAGGTAAAATAAGTGCACACTAGTGCAGGTAGTCCTCGATTTAACAACAGTTCATTTAGTGGCCTTTCAAAGTTATAACCGTACTGAAAAAAGTGACTGATGACCATTTTTCACACTTACGACCATTGCAGCATCCCTAGGGTCACATGATATTCATTCAGATGCTTAACAACTGACTCATATTTATGACAGTTGCAATATCCAGGAGTCATGAGATCCACTTTTGTGACCTTCCGACAAGCAAAGTCAATGGGGAAACCAGATTCACTTCACAACTGTGTTACTAATTTAACAACTGCAGTGATTCACTTAACAATATGGGTGACAAAAGATGTAAAATGGAGCAAAATTCACTTAACAAATTTCTCACTTTGGCTCAATTGTGGTCGTATGTTGAGGACTATCTGTATGCCAAATCCTCAAGTACTGTATTAAGCACACATGTCAACCCACCTAACTTAATTAGTAGAAGACTCAGTGCGATAATAGGTTGAATTGTGATGCTCAAACTACATTTTTCATCCCTTTATTAATGTTGGTGCTATATTTTCAAAAGTGCTCTTCTTTCCCTTGAAGCGCGGCGTGTCTGGAAGAATTATTTCCCAGCAATTAATGGGATTGTCTTTTTAGTGGATTGTGCAGATCACTCTCGTCTTTTGGAATCTAAAGTGGAGCTCAATGTGAGTAACTTTTTCCTTTGAATACACTTGTACTAGTTGTTGTATTTATATATCCCTTTTCTGTCTTGGACAAGTTAATTTAAAATGTACACCTATGAGCAAAAAGGAAACTAAATACTAGTATGAATTTGGTATGAAAGCCAGCTGGGTGAGTTTGGAGCAGTCTCATTCTGTCAGCCCAACTCATCTCACAGGGTTATGATGAGGAAAATAGGAGGATAGTATATTAGTTATGTTTGTCACCTTGAGTTATTTATAAAAATAATAAAGGTGGAATTTTAAAAAATCTTTAAAAAGCAGGCAAATATAAAGCAGTACTTGTACATAATTTGGAATGTGTTTCATAAATTTGAATTGTAAGTTACATGCCATCACTATGATATTTAAATTTAGGAGATCATGTTGTGACTTAAAATATTCCAAATGCAATCAATGAAATAATATGTATGTATCTGTTGTCTATTAGTAGCATTTTCTGAAATAGGGTTTGGCATTCCTACTTAAAATTATTAGTCGCTTTCTATGGTTACATAGTTGCACATTTCCTCCCTTTTTTCCCTTAGGCACTAATGACTGATGAGACAATATCCAATGTGCCAATTCTTATCTTGGGTAACAAGATTGACCGACCAGAAGCTATCAGTGAGGAGAAGCTGCGAGAGATTTTTGGTCTTTATGGACAAACAACAGGAAAGGTAAGGAATCAAAGCTTGGTTCTAAAATTAATGTACCTTATTTTTTGAAATATATTTATCTGAATACTATTGTATATCAACATTCTAATGTTGGCTCTTAAAATACCAAAGGAACACAAGTAACAATTTTTATTAGATCCAAGTATGGTACAAATGAATTTATTAGATTAATGTAGAATAGCCTAAATTTATATTTCTGTATGTTTACAAAAGAATGTTTTGTATGGTTGGTTAATGAACATAATTTAGTTTTTATAAATCAGAGTACACTTCCTTGGAAGCCTGAATTGTTAACTTTGTGATTGAATTGAATTGAATTGAATT